TATAACAATCTGTGATATATAGGAGATCTTACTGTCCCACCTCCTATATATATTTATAACAATCTGTGATATATAGATCTTTCTGTCCCCCTCCTATATATATTAATAACAATCTGTGATATATAGAAGATCTTTCTGTCTCCTCTCCTATATATATTTATAACAATCTGTGATATATAGAAGATCTTTCTGTCTCCTCTCCTATATATATTTATAACAATCTGTGATATATAGAAGATCTTACTGTCCCAACTCCTATATATATTGATATAAATCTGTGATATATAGATCTTTCTGTCCCCCACCTATATATATTTATAACAGTCTGTGATTTATAGAAATTTTTCTGTCCCCCCACCTATATATATTTACAACAATCTGTGATATATGGATCTTTCTGTCCCCCTCTCCTACATATATTTATAACAATCTGTGATATATAGATCTTTCTGTCCCCCACCTATATATATTTATAACAGTCTGTGATTTATAGAAATTTTTCTGTCCCCCACCTATATATATTTACAACAATCTGTGATATATGGATCTTTCTGTCCCCCTCTCCTACATATATTTACAACAATCTGTGATATATAGAAGATCTTTCTGTCCCCTCTCCTATATATATGTATAACAATCTGTGATATTTAGAAGATCTTTCTGTCCCCTTTCCTACATATATTAATAACAATCTGTGATATATAGAAGATCTTTCTGTACCCCCTCCTACATATATTTACAACAATCTGTGATATATAGATCTTTCTGTCCCCCACCTATATATATGTATAACAATCTGTGATATTTAGAAGATCTTTCTTTCCCCACACCTATATATATTGACAACAAACTGTGATATATGGATCTTTCTGTCCCCCTCTCCTACATATATTTACAACAATCTGTGATATATAGAAGATCTTTCTGTCCCCTCTCCTATATATATGTATAACAATCTGTGATATTTAGAAGATCTTTCTGTCCCCTTTCCTACATATATTAATAACAATCTGTGATATATAGAAGATCTTTCTGTACCCCCTCCTACATATATTTACAACAATCTGTGATATATAGATCTTTCTGCCCCCCTCCCTCCTATATATATTGATGACAATCTGTGATATATAAAAAAATTTCTGTCCCCCACCTATATATATTGATAACAATCTGTGATATATAGAAGATCTTTCTGTCCCCCCTCCTACATATATTTACAACAATCTGTGATATATAGATCTTTCTGCCCCCCTCCCTCCTATATATATTGATGACAATCTGTGATATATAAAAAAAATTTCTGTCCCCCACCTATATATATTGATAACAATCTGTGATATATAGAAGATCTTTCTGTCCCCCCTCCTACATATATTCATAACAATCTGTGATATATAGACCTTTCTGTCCCCCCCCCACCACCTATATATATTGATAACAATCTGTGATATATAGATCTTTCTTTCCCCTCTCCTATATATATTCATAACAATCTGTGATATATAGATCTTTCTTTCCCCCCTCCTACATATATTCATAACAATCTGTGATATATAGAAGATCTTTCTGTCCCCCCTCCTACATATATTTACAACAATCTGTGATATATAGATCTTTCTGTCCCCTTTCCTACATATATTTACAACAATCTGTGATATATAGACCTTTCTGTCCCCCCCCCCCCCACCACCACCACCTATATATATTGATAACAATCTGTGATATATAGATCTTTCCCCTTTCCTACATATATTTACAACATACTGTGATATACTGTAGTTCTGTTCTTTAAGTTTGGATATCCGATATGCTGCGGCGATGTTTTACAAAGGTATTTGAAGCAAACTGGAACAATAAATGAAAATGAACTGAACCGAGGCGAAGAGTTCCATGAATGAAATGAATATACCTACTAGACTCGATTTTCTCGTTATTCCGTCGATGGAAATTCTAAGACCCTCTCTTAAATGCCGTTAATTAGGAATATGCCAAATCATTCCTACTGTGAAAAGTTTATACAGGCTTAATGTTCACTAAAGGAGTTTCTTTAAATGTTTACTGATCACATATAGAACATACAGTTCAATTAAGTAAGGGCAGTTCATATATTATCTAGTCCGGTCGAAAGTATATATACTCGTTGAACTCAAACGATCTTTGTAACTGTACAGACAAAAAAAATGATATTCTTTATCTTTGGTTTCATTTATCAGCCCATGGACAATGTCTATTCAATCGTTCAATTGATTAATAGAACATCATCATTAGGTTAACAATCGCCATGCGATAACATAGGATGCCATGCACATATATCAATATATTGCTTTCAGTGTGATAATGATCCACTGATAACACAACCTCTAAATAGATGTGATGTAATAACAACAAAACAAGAGCCTGATAAACTCTTAATATACGTTTATCAGTCCAACAATTATAATCTTTACATGTTGGACACAGAATATCACAAAACCTTGAAATGTCAAAATAAACACATATATTCTGAAAATGTAGTACAATTCTCACACCTGAGTGGTCGTGTGGCGATCGGGTTCGATTCCCCTATCAGATTTGACAAGCTATAGGGGTACCTGCCCGACTACGTAGGTTTCTTCCGGGTACTGCATGTTCTTCCACAGTAAGATTCCTCGCGCCCTCCCATTGGGGACAAGAGAAGTGGTTATCTAAGTTGAAATAAAATGTTGTAAAATAAGTAAGCTACATCAAATATGATTGCGTAATGTATCCTTTATATTGTATAAAATATCTCCTATCTTTAAGGTGACATACTTGTTATTTACATACAATATATATCATATAAATATTAATGATATATCAAAATTGCATAAAACGTGCATTGGGATACGCAGGTTCAAAGCGAAAGCCGAAAGTCGATTTCCTGGAAAAACACAGAAACGAAAGCAACGTGTGGTATGTTTCCGATAACGTGGATGTTCTGTGTATTTATAATGTATGACATAATTCATTTCAATCTATTTTCATACCCACACATACTTTAAAAGCTGAGAACAAAGAATGAGCCCGCACAAAATCCGTATCAAGTATCGTTGTATATACCTGAGAGAGGTGAGTAAAATTAGATTTTTTATTCCTATATTGTCGAATCTTAGACCGACCACTGAGTGCTACAAAAGGGAGTATAGTACTCTTTTGGTCTATCTTCCTGATGTTTAAGGGCTAAACATAACTTGAACTAAACCATTTCATATATACTAAAAGAACATTCATTTACAGCATCGTTACAACAGAATGACTGAATACTTAACAGAACTATTTCGCATTGTTTTTGTTCAGCCTTCTAAACATCACAGACTCGCTGATAGTACTAACAACAAACCTGTCCCGGATAGTTAAAAATATATGTGTTTTCAGTTTTTTACAAGGAAACCATTGATCAAACGTTTTCAGAAAATGTGGTTCATTGTATTTTAACAAGCTGACATCATACACCCAAACTGGATTACCAACCAATCTATTCTTAGATTCAATGTTATATAAGTATAGAATATACAATGAGTCCACACCAAATGTACACTATACATCCTGTATTCAATATTTAGTTAAAGCTTCGACACTTTTGACAGGTAAGGTCATTACAATTTATATACGTTATACATCTGCCATGTTAATCTTAGACAATCTAATTAAACAATGGCACGTTCCAATCAGGAAAACAAAGTAAACAGCTTTAGAAAATTAACATCAATATTTTCCAACAAGATCCTTATGCCAATCGTCAGTTACCCTTGTTATTCATCAATATGCATCTCTCGAACTGTCAGCATAACAAAAAACCATGATATTGGGAGCAAAGCCTCTAAAGGTTGGGGCTACCTGGTTAAGCCCCGAGTTAAGCGAAAAAGGAGTGTATCGTCTCTTTGATTCCCTAATCTTGTAGGTATGTACGATAGACAGGGTCAATAAATTTCTTGTTCTCAGGACATCATCAATATATCTGAAAGAGAAAGTGAAGGACTTGCAATGGTCCTCTTGACCTGTTTTGATGAGACAGTGATGACACAAACAAGACAACGAAAAGGAGGGCATAATTTCTTCCCGAAAGTGTGCGCGTGTACTGTTAGAAGGTCTTGTCACCAAAGAAAGTAATTATAGTAAAGTGAAGAGCTAGACTACCATCCTGCCGTTTTAATTCATTAGAACAGTGACACGGTTTAGAATACATGCATGTACTTGACATTGTTCTGAAATGATCTGATATATAAACAATGCAAACTATTTAATTACTAAGCAAGCGCGCCTCCCCGTCTAGATTTTGACTTTTCTGTCGATCACTTTTGATTTTCTTCAGTCGCTTCCTCGGCTTCAAGATTTAGGCCCTTAGCTTCACAAACGAGTCCAAGAAGACCGAAACAGCTATATGACGCAGTTTAATTAACTTTGTTGGCTCTGCTGAATCTAAATATATTTTTAAGAGAAAGATGCTGTTCACTTCTGTGTCTTTTGAAAAAAAATGAAGAACGACTAAAGAAAAAAATACGAACTTTGATCCTTTTTAATCAATATATAGATACAAGATAATCTATATACGGTATTGTTAGATTAGGTGTTTTAAACTTCCTTTATCATGGATTTTCACAAGCAGGTAGCTAGTTGTGTATATAGACCAGTAAAATTTCCACTGTTTGCGTTTTCAGAAAATATAAACTTCCTTGTATTGAAGCCAGTACGAAATTTTTTTTTTTTTTGAACTTCTGAAGGTTTTTCAATAGAATTTGTTAATTCCTTGTTATTAATCTTAGCTTACAAAGCTAGCAGAGTAAAAATAAATTCACTGCTTCGTCTCGTATTGTTTTTCAGTGAATAATTAGCACCATAGACCTCTCTTCTCGTTTCTCTTTTAACGACGGTAAGTTTTATGGAGATATAAAAGAAGCCCACTAAGATATTTGATGATGACATATACTTCCTTACCAAGAGATTATTCTATTGAGAAAGTATTTTGACACATCGTAATATAGATGGCTGAAAAAATAGACGAAGAATCTTCTGAAAGCGACAGTGCGGATGAGTTCAGCAGCTCTGGAGAAGATGAAAATGTACAACGTCGATCGCCTGAGCTAGATGGTATCATAAACACAATTTGTGAATTGATTGAAGAAAACAAGCAAGATGAGGCAAATAAGCGTACACTGGACACCTATGAACGTTTGAAGAGTTCCTACAATTCCGAAAATGATAGGCAATACCTTGATTACTCTTACTATCTGGAACTCTGCTCGAAGAAGTTTAGAGAGGTCAGTAAAGTCATTTAATGGGGTTTTTTGCATCAAAACTTCAAATTATTAAATACGTATTTTCTTCTGAAACAATCTTCGTCCTTTTATGTAGAATATTTTACCAGATGAATAGATGTCATATAAAATCTGACTGTTGTTTTTCAATTGTGAAATTTTGAATTTGCTTATACTGTAAAGTGCATCGCACTATGAAATAATTACTTCATTTCATCAAATTTCTCGAATGAGCAAACTTATGTAATCATTATATATAATGTATTTAATTGAAGACATTACTCCTTGAAAATCTATTTCATATATTGTTCCAGGTTTCTAATCATTCAATGGCGTTGGAAGCATACTATACAGGTAACACGCTAAATACTATATCAGGCATTATACTACTGATTAGCTAAAATTTTAATTGCATCAGATATTACATATGACATATACTACAAACTTACTAAAAATGTATCCATATCATATACGTTATACAATAGACTTGCTAAAATTTTAACTATGTCAGAAAAAACGTTATATAATACAGATTTGTTCAAATTTTAAATATATCAGGTTATACTCTACATGCTAAAGACCTACTTAAAATTCAACTATACCAGGTATTATACTGTGTACTACAGATTAGCCAGTCTTCATTACATCATATAATAACCCATATGCTAAATATCTAAGCGCATCAATTAATACGCCATATACTGTAGACTAACCAAAAGCCAAACCACACAAAGTTATTATATCGGTTTTTACTTAATTAAAATAAGCCGAAAATTAAATCTAATGATGTTCTGATTTTTAACAATATTTTGAGATCATTTCATAAAGATGAGTTATTATTATGATGTTGGAAAATTATTACATTTGGTTCTGTACGTTATAATGTGAAATATGGTCCTGCCCACCAGGCTCCTCTTTGTTCATCAATTTGCCGAGTACTGTGAGATCAATCGTTTGTCAAATATAGATCTATTATTCCCTGTCATGGTAATCATTGCTTTCAAGTTATTTTAAGAGAAATGTTACTTGATTTTTAAGGTAACCTTCAAAACTATGTTAAAAATAGACTACTCATAAAGTAAGCTATTGTGACCTGCTTTTTAATATATTTTCAAGATAATACTTTTGATATCGATTTTTTATCTTACGATTATAGCAAAATAAAATGAGACAACTATCAATAGTATCTGATACTTATTAAGCACAAAGCACGATCATTTTCTCGACATCTTTTTTGAATTTACATAATTTTAAAAAAGATTTTTTATTGGTTTCATTATCTGTTTATACTCAAAGTGAAATTCCTACATAGATGTAAATGTGTTTATCATCTTTCCTAATGTTCTTTGATTTCAACTGTATTTTCATAATTCCTTCATTAAAACAATTTTTACATTTTCAGCTTGCATACATAAACAGTTTTGTTGCGAATCCGATATTATGGATCACATGCTAACAGCTAGGATCCTTTGGGAAGACCTTTTCTCATCGAGTCTTACAATAGAGGTGTGTGAATATAATAAGCTACAATGGAAAAGTCCATGCTCAAAAAATACGTAGTTCATTTAAAGAATTGTTTCATTTTCTTACAATCATTGTTTCCATGGAAAAATGATTATATAAATCCGTTCGCTGTCAAAACCATAATTAGAAATAACTGAAACAAATTCGAAATCGCAAAAACAAAACAGAACCTTTACGTTTTATTCCTGATTGTCGGTTAATGAGGATGAATAAAATATGGAAACAAAAACGTCAGCGATGAAACTAATTTTTATTCTTAACATTGCATCTATGATTTGTTAACAGGATATTTCAAAGGAGGCAGTAAGGATACAAATAATGGCAGATCTTCATCAACAGAAAACAGGTGGCAGTGAATATAACCTAGCCTACGTGTGTATTCACAGAAGCCTGCTGGAAACATTCCAAACACTACTTCAGAATCACCAAGCAACCCGTAACCTCCGGGATAGATGGTTGAGATCAGTTATAGTATTGTGGAGATACAATATATTTCATGTGAGTGTGTCACGTGTTTATGTTATGGTATTCATAACGTTTAGTATTGATTGAGATATAAAACATAGATAATTCTGAAATGTTAATTGTTCAAACTTCATTCCGAAGACACTAGGGCAAAATTGAACACAAATCGATTACATTATGAGTGACTACTGGAAACTTCTGGGGGAAGAAGACCAGGCGTTCCGTTTACGTTTCAAGATAGTAATGTCTCGCTAACAATAGCAGAACCTCCAGGCGTTCTAACCAGCAGCGAATACGCACATATCGCACAAGGAAACAGAATATTTCCCGATGATAACATTATGACGACCGTAAAATGTCTCTTATTTTTATCAGTCTGTGTCTTTCGAAACCCTGTGGTGCAAGTTATATGTCACTTGCACAAAAATCGTGATATAAGTAACACGGCTTTTATTACCAAATACATTGCCAACATGAAAATACCACAAGCTGGGGATGCAGGGGTTGGTGGTATCCAAAAATGGATAAATCACAAGCTTTTAAAATGGTTTGGTTGACTTACTAGACAAGCCAGCAATACAATTATGTGTGTATGAATTAATTAATGAGAACACTATGTATAGATCCGGGTCGCCGGAATGAATTAAGATATATCACAATGTATTAGATATTCAACAAACATATTTTGGCAACACCGCTCAAATCAAATTAAGTTCATTTAGACAATGGCACGGATCAGAATATATATATTTACATGACAATTTTCTAATAATGAAAATTACCAATTTTATTCAATCAGTGGACTAGTGCACTTTCACTTCTTTATTTTGTCGATCCTAGTATCACTGGCGAGTCCTAGAAGGACAAAACTGTTGTATAATTCATTATTTGGCTTTAATGCATCAAAGCAATATTTAATATTGAACCTTCTTCATTTCAAGGGTGATGCATCATCCGTTTCGGAGAAGTGCAAAATAGGTATGTAAACACATTGTATTGATGCACGATGTAGATATACATTCAACACAGTTAAAAACACTATTAAATTATGCATTCAATTAGCTTATGATATTCTGGAAAATTTGTACAAAATTTTATATCAATGTGAAGGAACAAGTCTACCCTTAACAGTACTGTAGGAAAAAGTCTGTGTGGTGTCACTCGTGTCGTCATTAGCTACACAAAGTGGGATACACGTAAAAAATAAAATCCCATTTCAGTAGCTAGTGTGGGCACCTCTTGCAAGAATCGCGGCACGGATTCACCTATGCATTGATTTCATGAGAACATTAATTCGCCTTAAGGAAGTGTAAATGCTGCGATCAACTGGGTGCGGTCAGTTTTGTTTGTTTGTTTGTTTGTTTGGGTTTTTTTTTTCCTAATACGCCTGTTCAGTTCATCCCACTGATATTCAATGGGAGCAAAGTCGGGGCTATATGGGGGCTATCCAAGAGGCTGAACGTTGTTTGCCGTAGGAAATAACGACAGACTCTGGCAACATGCAGTGGAGCATTGTCTTGCTGGAAAATTGTTATGATGTCTAAGAAGTGGAATGACATGTGGTTGGAGGATCTGGTCTCTGTATCGAACGGCATTAAGTATCAGTTATAAAGAAAATAATTTAATTGTTGGGTTATATTACATCCACATCTAGATTTTGACAAATCTTCCAACTGATTTTTATTTCAAAAGTTTGAAAATTAAGTTCTTTAGTATCGCTTTCGAAGCGTAGAAACACGTAGTTTTATCATGCATTATTTGGCACTATTGGATATGGTGATTTTCACTTGTATCTTTTCTGCTGTCTTGTATCATGATATGAAAAGAAAATATGATTGATGAATTCTCCAGATAATCCCGTAAAGTTACTGAAATATTTTAGCTAATTATGTTAATGCTTATATAGAGGACAGAAGTAATCCTGAAAGTGTGCCAGTGTTGGAAACCTGGGCTATGGCTCTGAAAAGGGAGGGAAAGCTGGATGCCGCGCTAAAGAAGACGAAAGATGCAATGTCATTTGTTAAGGTATGTCACCTATACCGTTCCTTTTGATATCTTCAAAGCAATCTTTGCGGATGACAATATGTCAATTATAGGTACAACAAATAACTTTTAAATGCTCCCAACATTAAGGGTATATCTTGTACCCCTTGTCCTTTGGTTAGAACAGTCAACCTGCTGTTGAGTTCATCAAATCCATCTATCAATACATTCAATTCGTCGGTCAAATCGTCAAATCTATCGGTCAGTACTCTCAGTCTGTCGGTCAAATCTTTTGGCCAATTCAATCCGTCGGTCAAACCCGTTCGTCAGTGCATTCAGTTAGTCAGTCAAATACATTGGTCAATTCGTCAAATCTATCTGCCTTTACTTTTCCGAAAAAGAAATTTCAATAACGCATAATATCATCTTTTTAGATGACTTATTTTGCCCATATTATCATGATGACATTTTCTGTATTGAAAAATTGAAAAAAAAAATGCACGATACTTACCAGTTTTCCTTTTCAAGAATCAATCTCAAAGACATTCACTGGATCAGCTAGAGTTATCCATAACTGATGCATTACAACAGAGAACGGAAAAGCAAGAAAATAGTTCACCGGACCCCGAATGGCTGTATGGAACAAACATTAATGAACCTTCCAAGGCAGGTCGCTTAAACTTTGAACATATCACGAAAACCATTACAAGGAAGGTCACTTAACTCATTCTTAACATAACATAAAGTATTTAAAGGTAATAAGGGAAATTAATGTGAAATATCTTTTAAATTACGCCTATTAGGGTAAGGGATGTGGAAATGCTTTTCATTTTAGTTAAAAAGCTATGAGAGAATTTTAATTACCTGTCATTCCTTGTATGATGATGAAAACAATCGAATAACATAACATAATGATGGGATTAAATATGGTTTTGTTTATTGCTTTTTTTCAGAATAGCAAAAGAAAAGAGGACATAAAAAGAACACATACTAATCACAGTAGAAGGAGGCGTAAGTTAAGGTTTCTTTATCGGGGATAGTAAGATCTGACACTTTATGACAGGATTTACAAAATTGCAAAATCGTAACCCATTTATGAAAGATTTTTAACAAGATTTCAATTAACACTGGGATTTACATAGGTAATTGAAAGCAAAGACAGTATTTGAACTAGAAACACACTTCACATTAAAAGGATGACGCCTATAGTCGTTATTTTCAAGTAAGTACGGAGGGCTAGTGCTAAAGACGATCAGATGTCTTAACCTTATAACTTAGGGACTAGTTTTGAAACGGTAACATATAAAGCGTCAAGAATTAATTCTAAGATATTTTTATCCGTACACATAAAATGTTCTTACTTGGAAAATACAATTATCAATTACCGGCGATATGTAGTGACATGTCCTTCAGAAGAGCGTTTTTAACTGAAATACTTCACTAGTAATGAAGGTAAGTCCGTTCTTCGTTATTTACTTAAGTCTAAAACAAGAAATTTAGGTTGGTCTGTACCTAGCGCAATAAGATTTAACCCTTGAATTTTGACGTTAAAACACTGATAGTTAATCTAGCAAGCGTAAACCTTTACATGGTATACCGTTCATGTTCCAAGACATCAGATTTTAACAGACTCATGTTGATATCTAAATATCTTTAATATTCAATGAATTTTAAGCTGAATTTTAATCAATTTATTTCAAAGATGTGTACTTAACAAAATACTTAACCCCTAAATTAGAAAAGCATTTTGAAATATTTTAATGTAATTGTACTATTTCCTTAAAAGCAATAAATGTTATGAGTATATTTCGATTTTCGATACTTATTTCAGCAAAATCAAGGTTACCTCTTATTGCATCAATCATAGAGGATTTGAACTGGGGGTTAAAAGATACCGGAACAAAACCAATTCCAGAACCACGTTGGTTCCATTGTAAAAGTGAACGAAAGAAAAAGGAGAGACGAAAAACTAGACGTTTACGACAGTCAAAGCAAGTAATTGAAAATTCGGTTCCATCAGAGGTTGATGAGCAGATTTCAATCGAAAATGAATACGATGAAGAGGAGGATAAAGAATTCGACAGTGAACTTCCAGTCAAATCTTTCTTTGATGAAAGTGTGAAATTGCTCTGCAATGAAACCGTAGGAGGAAGTAATGAACACGACTTCATTCTAAATGACATGGATTTATCGGATTCTTTTGTTGAATCACTAATCAAGAGAAACGAAAGAAAAACTGTTTATAACGAAAACTTGCCAATTCAGGAATTGCAAATCTTGCTGAAAAGTCAGCCAAAATGGTACAAACGATGCACTCTTCAAATACAATCAGCACATGAGTCGGTTTGTTCATTGATTAAACCAGAACGGAATTTGACTGAAATTAAAATCAGTGGCCGTTCAAGGTGCGGAAAAAACTTTACGGAAGATGAAGTAGTTGTGAAAATCATATCAAATAGCTCACCGCAAACCAAAATGAGCGACCATAAGGAAACAGCGACATACGGTCAGGTTGTTGGTAGATTGAAGAGAAATCGGTATGCCGAATTTAAACATCCAGTTATAGTTTGCGAGCTTGATCATAACGAATATCACAAAATGCGACCTCTAAATAAAGTTGTGCCGAAAATTCATCTTTATAAAAATAACCGGAAAAATCGCAGAGAAGAAAACTTGTTCCAAATTGACGTTTTTAACTATGATGCGAAAAGTAAGAATTTACAATTCAAGAAATCTTTTGAAATCAACCCTGCGAAAAAGCTGAGTTACGCATTCCTGGTGGTTTACCTAAGCTGGGACGATGTATACCCACTTGGAGCAGTAATCAAAGTTATTGAAACAGACAGTAAATTAAGCAGTGGCTTACACCTTCTAGAGATAAAGCACCAGGTTCCAACCAAGTACAGGCCTAATACAGTAAAAGATGTTCAATGTTTGATAGAAGAGAAAAAACAGGGGAAAGTGGAGCTTAAAGACGAAGGATCAGCATCAATACACGTGTTCACCATTGATCCTGAACATTCAAAAGATTTGGACGATGCACTCAGTGTTGAAACGCTACAAACTGGAGAATTTGAAGTTGGAATTCATATATCAGATGTCGCCAACTACGTTCGCAAAGGGGATAGCATAGACGAAGAGGCACGCATCAGAGCTATGTCATTCTACCAGGGACAAGGTAAACAGTCATACCACATGTTACCGGAACCCCTCAGTCAAAATCATTGTAGCTTGCTACCGGATGAACACAGGCGCGCATTATCAACTTTTTTTCGTTTCAGTCCTGATGGAGTTCTGAAAGATGGACCCCCAAATATAAAGAAAACCTGGGTGAAATCAGGGCGAAGATTTACATACGAGGACGTTCACCATGTGTTGAGAAATGACAACGATTGTAACATTTTTTCTTCTGAAATTAGAACGTTACATAAAATATCAAAAAATCTTAGAAGCAGTCGTCTAGGTGATTCCAAGATCAGCAAAGATTTTGTTCGCGTTGATGACAAGGACCTTGATTCAGCATTTGACGACCAAGAAGCACACAATCTTGTTGAAGAATTTATGATTCTCACCAACAAAACGGTCGCTCAATTTGTGTGTTCAAAATTTCCCAATTTTGCAATTTTAAGATGCCATGATGTTCCTACAAAGGAGAGGGTACAAAAATGGTTACGTAAATATCCACTGATATCAAATTTGATCATGCGGCTTCAAAATACTGAAATCCCGAATCTGCAGCAAACACTAGGAATGTTAAGCATTAAGAAAAAGGATCTGAATACACCAATCAAAATCCAACAATGGGTATGGTCGTTTCTTGAACAGTGCGCAAATGAAAAAAACTTTCGAAAAGCATGTGAGATCGCTGGATGCGACGACCTTCATCCGGAACAAGCTCTTGCTTTGCGCGAGTGGAAGTCATTTCAAGAGGAAGCCAAGTACAAGTGTCATGAAGCATCGAAGAATAGAGGGAAATCGTATCATTTTGCCTTGCGCATACCGGATTATATACATTTCACATCACCGATCCGTCGATATGCAGATCTTGTGAACCATCGTTTTGTCCATGCTGCTCTTGACAATGAGAAAGACCCACCTTACAAAAGGTCTGAAATAGAAGACATTTGTCTTCACCTCAACCAGGTATCCAAACGAAAAAATCTTTTTGAACAGCAATGCAAAGCTTTGATTGATGGCCATTCACTTCGGAAAAATCCCACAGTCTGCAATGGCTATATAGAAGAAACAGCAACTGACAAAATAACACTATTTTTCCCCGAGAAAAAGTCCATGACAGAAAGGAACAAAGAAATTCATCTCAAGCTGCTTAGAGTATCATGCCAACCTGAGATAAGAAACGATATCCTATCATTGACTTGGCATAAACGAATATATTCCCAAAAAGAGGTGGAGCGGTTAATCATCAATAGCAGAGATGTCCGCCGCATTGATCCTCATCAAAGGGTGTCTTTTCAACAGCTTTCCCGGTGGAGAGATGTCCTTAAAGCCTGCGTCGACCAGGATTCAAATAAATTTGAGAACAAAATGTCTGTAAATGCTTGTTATAATAAGAATGAGAAAATTAGAAAATCTGTTCCGACTTGTACCAAAACTGAAAGTGACGTTAGTTGCGAAAACATGGAAGGAGCACTTCTATCAAACTCTTGTAAATTCAGCATGTCATTTAGTCATGCTCAAATTTTGACGGTACAGTTTGGAGCAGATACAAATAAAGGTGTTCTCGAACCTTCTCCACAAATTCTAGAACTCACAAACAATGTGAAATTTTGTCTGATGCATACCAAAGATCCTGTGAAATACCTTGCTGAATATGCAACAAAAGCCGCTGACAGACGTAAATGCGACACTGTTGAAGCTTACTGTGAAACATGGCTGCCTTTACTCAGGATGGAAGCTGTAACAACAGCAGTAAGAACTGACTCCACAACAATCACTGACGTTCCAATCGAACTGCATGATGATGGTGGGACATTCAATTTGTCCATTGCCTTCTGTGAAGATAGGCATATCGAATTCAGCAATGCGTCAGTGATTGAAAATCTTTTAAATGAAGAAAGTAGAGAAAATTCTAACGCCCATAAAGAATTTTTCGCAAGCTCAGATTTCCTTTGTTTCAAATGTTCGTATGATGTTTCCACACCATTTCCGAAAGGACACCCTGAAAGGCGACGGATATGGATAGCGCATGGTCACGTTGAAACCGTACGCAAAATCAAGGAACATGATATATTAGAGATTCGTTTTCAGCTACATCCATCAAGTTCTCGGCCGCCACGACACATAAGAAATGCCAGGGATAAGCCAAACTGCAATGTTGAGATACTGACTAATCCTGTGTCAATCAGGTAAGTTTTGTAATCTTTCTGTAATTAAAAATCATATTGATGAAAAAACAGGCTGTGTACTACAGAGCAGTGTTGGATAACACTACCGCTTTATAGTTAGATTTAATTCATCATTGTGATCACATCAATTGCACCAACTCTTTTTTCCTAGACGACAAGAAGAGGTCCTGCAGTGTCTCAAAACCGCAAATAGTTTGGCAAAGGAAATAGCGCTTGGAAAAGACATTCCGCCTTTAAGTGAGTGTAATTTTGTTTTGGTATCAAATGTGTATTTTTATTTTGTTTTGTCTTGCAAGTGATACTCAAGTAAACATTTTGAAATTTTACAATATCTAGGAATGATGTCGAAAATAAGTTGATCAATATCCAGCACGTTATGACGGCATTAAATTAGGTTACAACCCAACAGCATTAAAGTAGCGAATCAAAATAGGGAACAACCATCGATACAGTGCAAAACGAAAATCGAATGCTAATTGCAATTTTTATTGAACAGATGATGAACAAATGAAGTCAACAGATGTCGAAGTTGATGGTCTTGCACTAAACAACGAACAGCAAAATAAGGCGATATTGGCCTCTCTATCCCAACAGTTCACCCTAATACAGGGTCCTCCAGGTAACCTATTTGCACTTAATTCACATTAATAAATATATCAAAAATTCACCCGTTATATTTCAATTACATGTCCAAAATAAATTTTTATTGTTAAATATTTATAATATTCGTTTACAATTTTCATTATCTATGTCTTCTATTATGACCCTTAACATCACTCTATGTCTGTCTTTAAATTCGTATTAAAATATTTTTTATTTGTGTGTCTTTCACTTATCGTTTTACCACCGAAAATTCGAAATTTTGTCGAAATTCGGGTTAATCGAAGTTCTCCACTGAAAATGTCCGTATCTCAGTAACATTGAAAAGTCAAACTATTTGTTACAGGGACGGGCAAGACGAACACGTGCGTGAAGCTGTTATATCTCTTCACACAAATCAACAGAAAGAACACACACGAAAGCAACGCCTTGAAACAAATAGTCGTCTGCGGTCCTTCTAACAAATCTGTGGATCACATTGCCAGTAAGCAAACGTTCTACAGCATACATAAGAACATCCGATAATCAAATCATCGCTTACATTTTACACAGAATATCTTATCAAGTCCTTTACGGATACGGTTGAAGCGTCAACATAACTTCGTTATATACAATTTTTGATCCATGAAATAGAACATTGTAATTTTTATGCTACTATATTTAATCTTTGTCAAGAATTATAGCAGCAGTAACAACGAAATATCTAACTGATTTTAAATAACCTGAAATCTTACTTCCTTTTATTGTTTTCCTATGATCATGAGGTGAATGTAAAGGTCAATACTATTTAGCATAAGATATGACTAGCAACTTCTCTGAAACTGCACAAAAAATACCCTCAAGAATGTCACCTCTCATTAAAATTAGATACAGTAAACCCAAACAATTAAACAAACTGGGGAAAATCAAATGAATAAAGAAAATGTCAAAACCTAACTTTCGAGGTCCATGCGCCCCACAATTCAATTTCACCTCTATAGTAATTAAGTTATCTAGCTGACTTTGAGGTATGCTTTCAATGTGTCTGAAGGTTCATATATATATATCTTTTGAAAATTCACCTGGTAATGGTATATAATGGTATATAGAGAACTTTATTTGATTTGTAAGCGTATTATATAGTACGTGAATCAACTTAGATAAATCCTCCTGTAAATTTATGAAATTTTATAGAATGACCTTAGTTATAACTTCATTAGAGGCCTTAATTTCTACAAAGAATTCCTATCATGAAAAAACATCATGACCTGTCGCATTGTTTTGCAGAGATGACAATAGAGAAACTTGGTGAAAAGAGGCCAAAATTAATCAGGATGTATGCTTCGGCATTTGAATGTTGCGATTACGCCATTCCGGGTAAAGCACATTCAACTGGACAAGATAAACAACCAGATAAAAGCCTGAAAGGTATATCGCTCCATCACCTGATCCGAAACAACGACAAGCCGTCTGCTAAGAAGATCAGAGAATTTGACGCATATTGTCGTAAAGTCCGTGATTTATCGACAATCAAAAATGCAAAAGAGGCTGTAGAGTTTAAAGCGAAAATGAAGGAATTTAAAGCACTGAAAAACCACGCTAAAGTTGAAGAAATCCGACAATGTGAAGTCATTTTTTGTACAACTGCCATGACGACAAATCCAACATTCATCCGCGCAACAAAGAACAATATAAGACAATGTATCATTGACGAAAGCGCAATGTGTACGGAACCGGATTGTCTTGCTGCCATTATAACTACACAACCACAGCAAGTGGTTCTTATCGGAGACCACAAACAACTCAGACCTGTGATCATGTGTAACGACGCAATCCTTGGCCTTGAGAAATCTCTCTTTGAGCGATATGCAAAAGAAGCAATCATTCTCAACCGACAATACCGAATGGTTTGTATAAAATCACTATATCATATTGCTACAACTTACATTGTACACGAAAGCGAAAGCCTTTGATTAAAGAATGTGTCATTAAGGACAGTAATTATTCCAGATGTCTCTATACCAATTATTAATAAAGAGTATTAGTATGTTTTAGAGTCGCTAGTCTGAACATGTATAGGTGTCGTAGATGAAGCAGACTGCATTCTTCTAGAACATTTAGTCTTATTTTCCTATTCTTTCAAAAGTCTCCGATTTTTTTCTTTCTGTTCATTTGTTCCATCTTTGTGTCGATGTTTAGTATGGCATGAAAGAAGCACGCACAATAATATTTTTTGAACTTCATTTCAGCATCCTTCAATATGCGAGTTGGTATCGTCTCAGTTTTATGGAGGAGATTTAGAGACCGTTCTGCCATCCGAACGGAAAGTGCAACCTTCGCTACGATTGTGGAAAGACCCACAATATCCTTACATATTTTTGCATGTAGAGGGTGAGGAAGAATACCTTTCTGTCTCGACAGAGGAAGGGAACGAAAACTCCTGTCGGAATCAGATGGAGGTTGAGAAGGTGGTACGTACTTACTGACTTCAGTAGATACAGCTATATGTGTCTACCCTTGAACTTCTGATATCTCACGTTACGAAAAAATCCAACAATTATAGAACGGCGGTCCTCAATTGAGTATTATAACCTGACATTCATATGGACATAGGAATCACGGATGATTTTAAGAATATTTAAATCAATCCCAGCTGTCACATTCGTCAAAGCTTTCAGTTTGGCTCAAGAAAGTCTTCCTATGATGGAGAAAATTGATGTAATTACAAATTATCATATTCTACACTCTGACACATTTGTTATAAGGAGGTAATCGTTACTATAGTCCCTGCTCAGGTAACAAAGTTAGTTAAGATTTAAAGCACCAAATAGCAATAGTATCTTCTCCACTGACATGACTCTAGTAGTGTTTTGATTTATCAATGTTATGAACAGCCTGATATTTTTGGACTTAATTATGTTCCCATCATCTGCCAGGTATATATTTTTAATCAAATGGTGAAGAGTGAGAGGGTGCCTCCAGACGACATCAACATCATGTCCCAATACAGAGCCCAGTGTAACACTATCAAAAAGTCTTTGGAGAAAAGCAGAATTTTGAACTTCAACGTGAACACTGTAGTGTCAAGTCAAGGTAAGCTTTAATGACATTGATGACTTTAGCTTTTCTTTTAGAAAGACAATGAAATAATCATCCATATATCCAAAGGGGTGCAATCTAAAAATAGCCTCTTTATATATCTCCGTACTGTTAAATTCAAGTCTCAAAAAGAAAAAAAAAACATTTGTATAAAGTTTATCAGTAGAAAACCCTTTTGGCATATTCACGTTAATCGGTACTGTGATAGTGTGTCTATTGTGTTATGACATTATTTTCAAAAGCAACACAGAAGTTTTCGGCATACCAACAGAATATATGAACAAAAGAAAAAAATTACACGGAGAATAAAACAAGGTGTTCCGAAAGGAAACATGATTTATCTACGACACCTGAAATATCAATCATTCTAAGTAACTAATACCACTTGATCCAATGATAACAAGTTAAGAAACAACGTAACTACTAGATAAGCAATATATTGATAAGATACAAATATGATGTTGACAAAAATGACATGTGTAATGATAACAAACAATTTAAACCAAAGAATGACATATTTTACAGCTAAGAATGTTTGTACTTGGAGAATCTTAACTCCACGTTTTGCAGAAATATAAGTTCTATTTATTGATTGATTGATTTTTTTTTTTTTTTTTTTTTTACGTTTTCCATATATATCAACAAAAAGATACATTGTATTGTAGGTGGAGAATGGGATTACGTCATTTTCAGCACTACAAGATCGTTACCAGACTTTAAGATTGAACCCAAACCGACCCTCGGCTGGCAAATAAAGAATCTGGGCTTTATCAGTGATGAACATCAGATTAACGTGGCACTCTCTAGGGCCCGCAAAGGACTGGTCATCATAGGTCGGTATTGTTTCATCATACATAGTTTTAAAATATGGCAAAAGCCAAAGACAAACAAAGAATATTAAGGTACAAATGTGTCTTCATTGAAAATTGAATGAAAGACATATAAGTGAATATCATCTATCACAACTAGTTAAGAATTTGGTATCTCATTGTTTAAAATATATTACAATTATTTTCCCCCTGCAATCTCTAGAAAACAAACTGTACAAATGGCATGCAACCTAAAAACGCCTTCAATATAATCAAATAAAGAAAAGCCAGAAAGCCATACATGTAAACTACGTTATATAGCTGTTTCGTCCTACTAGGACAATACCAAGTCTCTGATTTGTTGAGACCTCGAAGGCAACTGAGGATAAACCAGATTGGACGACATGAAAGTCAAAAACCAGATTTAGGGGTGTTCGTATCTGCAAATTCAACAAAATTAATCATATTAGACATTAAATGATTTCAACAGAATGTCAAGAACATGTGCTGAATCGTGCAACTTCGAACTTCGAATGAATCGAAAGTTACAACCAACTCTACTCTCCGTATAAGAATTTCCTTTGTTCATATTTTGCCCTAGCTTAATTGAATATGAGTTTGGCTTATTGGTGGTATTGATATCTTGGTATTTTTGAGAGCTCTAGAGTATCCGAATTTGTGTTTGAAATAAGATTTTGTTAACAAGTTCTTGTTCATATTCTGGACATATATACCGATGCTTTCGTCATTTTGAAAGACATTATCATCAGACATAAATTGTACATACTGATGAAGTCCCGCCATTGGTGTGTTTAATTTTATTTCGCGAGAAGAGCAGCGTCTCAAAACTCCACTTCTTCAGCACCTTCTTTTATGCCATATTTACATCATTCTCTAGGACGATAATGTCATTATTTAATCCTCTGTCGCATGTTTGCCTTTTTTTGAGGTCAGAATATGTCATGTTTCTTTTGGATTAATTGACAACAGGTACAGTTAAGCGTTGATCTTTTTTTTATGTAGGAGTGTAGTTTATATACTGAAATTGAGTTGTTATCGCTTTTGATTCCCTGTTTTTACGGTTGCAAAAGCTATGTTATCAAGTGCATTCTTCTGAATATTTACTGACATTCAAAACTATAATCGCCAATTTAATAAAAACTATTAGCAGACAGGTTTGAACAACTTGATAACGTTCACTTTCCCGATCTATTCATTGTTAGTTTAATTAGGTCCCAATACGCTTTCTGCACGGATACAACAGCATTTCGTGATACTGAAACTTGTTATCGTCCTTCAAATGTTTGATTTTTAATTGCGTAACGAATGCAGAGAATATAACTAACGAGGAAACAGAGCAGTTCATTTATTGTTGACTGGAAATACCTAAAACGTTGTGAAAAGAGCTCTGATTGGCCACAAAGACACAACATCTCGTCTCTACAGAAACCTCATACATGTGCAACTACCAACTGATATGAATAAGACACCAGGGACATTAAAGAATGAGGCAAGATATTGTTAGCAAGCGGGTGTCCTTAGAATTTAACATATATTACACATTAAATGGTAACTCATGTAGGCTCTTATGTCACAAAAAATGCACTTTTCCGTGCTCACTTCATTCAAGTTTTCTCGGTCTTTATCCACGGTGTCTATTGTAACCTAACAAATGATTTCATGTAGTAATACGCAAAATATTAAATCTATATATTCAGTGAATACAACGACAGTCGTGGGACATGTCTGCGATATTTCCATATGCTTACAAATAGAAAGACTAAATGGGGTTTTGTGTTATTGAATATCATCAAACATGAGTTGTGAAAATGCGACAATTAAAACGTTGTCTGAATATTTCCTTTGAAACAATTCTAAGAGATATCTACAGAAGTTATTGAAATTATGAAATGGTGTTATTCACTTTGGTACAATCTTTAAGATAGCAGGTGGTAGACGCTGCTTGTGGACTTTAAGTCCCCGAGGTTTGCCATAACTTGCTTGTCACGTTTAAATTCATTCGAATAGTAGTATGGTTCAGAAAAAAACACCTGTTCTGACGCCATTCTAAAATTGTCTTATGTATGAAAATTACGAAATATACATAATTAAGGGGCTACTGTACCTCCCCGTCTAGATTCTGACTTTTCTTTTGATCACTTTGGATTTTCCTTAGTCGCCTCCTAGGCTTCAAATTTTAGGACCTTAGCATCACTTTCGAATCCTAGAAGGACGAAACAGCTGTATGATACAGTTTAATTTATTGTTTTGCTCAACTGTATCTCACTCTAACCTATGAATTGGTCCTGTTCACTTGTGTGTCTTTTGTACAATCTTTACACTATAGTGTAAGCATATAATCTTCAGTTATACACTACATATATAGGTATACTTTGTTGCTAGTATTTATCCCTCAAATAAACTACGAGTATAATTTTTTTCTTTTAATAGGAAACAAAAACCTTTTGAAAGTAAATAAGGTCTGGGGAAAACTTCTTAAAATTTTTGAGAAAAATGGATGCGTCATTTAGTCTAACTGTAACTAAAACAGGACGTCGACATTAAATGACAACTGCAGCTTACACAGGGCGTCAACATTTAAGGACTGGTGTATCGTATATAGGCTTATATACAGGATGTTGGAAATATTTCTGATGAGTCTGACTTAGTTTGTTCGTGTCCGTCCCGATTTTGCTACAGTTGTTTCCTGTTTTGTTAATGACGCCAGTAGCTGAATTAACTGGATGTGTTGCGGTTACAGTCACCGGGTAAGAGGTCAATAGAAGAATTACAAGAAAAGTTTATTACTTGTAGTGTGTAGATATATATTTGTATAATTTGTTGCATATTTGTCATTTATTCTGCCATAAACACAAACAGAAATGCTTGATAGTAAAGAATACAAATTAATTATATTTTTAAACATATTTTTACGATATATAAGTATATATGTATATATAAATGAATGATGAAGTCAACACGGCAAACGTTGTGCTATAAAGATACTTATATATTCATTTTAGGGTATAAGTTTAGTAGGCATGTGTATTGACTATTATTCATGTTATGTAAGATAATTTCCCTTATCTTAAGTCATACATGTATGATAACATTCCTTATCTACAGTCACAAATGTGATATGGCATCTCTTATCTAAAGTCATACATGTAAGATAACATCTCTTATCTGAAGTCATACATGTAAGATAGCATGTGATACAATTGATCTCACATTTTTTTTTTAATAATTCAAAACTACGCATAATCTGTTGCACTGTACATCTATACACATATCTGACTTGTTACTAAGTATCTCATGCTTATAATTGTCTTTAAAAAAAATAATGAAAACCCAATGATCATATTCACTCATATAATCTGTGTTGAATAAATATATAAAATCATTCAATGATGCTGTGGAATATATTCCAATATAGGTTTGTCATTTTTTTATTTTATTTATATTCTATCAGAAAATATATTTAAATTTTTTTCTATACTGTGGAATCGTTTTCCATACTGGAAATATTCAGCATCATGTTATTTGTATCGCAATTAAATAAAATGTCATTTTCTAATATAATTTAATTGCATGTTATTTAAATTTTGATACGATACATATATAATATCGTTTCAATATTGTGGAATAGTTTCCAACATTGGAAATATTAATTTTAATGTTATCTATGTTATCACGAGATATATTACAAACCCTTCAAATGTTGTGGAATATGTTCTAGTATTGAATGCTGTGGAATATGTTCTAGTATTGGATGCTGTGGAATAGGTTCCAGTATTGCATGCTGTGGAATAGATTCCAGTATTGAATGTTGTGGAATAGGTTCCAGTATTGAATGTTGTGAAGTAGGTTCCAGTATTGGATGTTGTGGAATAGGTTCTAGTATTGAATGTTGTGGAATAGGTTCCAGTATTGGATGCTGTGGAATAGATTCCAGTATTGAATGTTGTGGAATAGGTTCTAGTATTGAATGTTGTGGAATAGGTTCCAGTATTGGATGCTGTGGAATAGGTTCCAGTATTGAATGTTGTGGAATAGGTTCCAGTATTGAATGTTGTGGAATAGGTTCTAGTATTGAATGTTGTGGAATAGGTTCAAGTATTGGATGCTGTGGAATAGGTTCTAGTATTGAATGTTGTGGAATAGGTTCCAGTATTGAATGTTGTGGAATAGGTTCCAGTATTGAATGCTGTGGAATAGGTTCAAGTATTGGATGCTGTGGAATAGGTTCCAGTATTGGATGCTGTGGAATAGGTTCCAGTATTGCATGCTGTGGAATAGGTTCCAGTATTGAATGTTTTGAAGTAGGTTCTAGTATTGAATGTTGTGGAGTAGGTTCTAGTATTGAATGTTGCGGAAAAGGTCCAGTATTGCATGCTGTGGAATAGGTTCCAGTATTGGATGTTGTGGAATAGATTCCAGTATTGAATGTTGTGGAATAGGTTCTAGTATTGAATGTTGTGGAGTAGGTTCCAGTATTGAATGTTGTGGAGTAGGTTCTAGTATTGAATGTTGCGGAAAAGGTCCAGTATTTTATGCTGTGGAATAGGTTCCAGTATTGGATGTTTTGGAACATTTTCAAGTATTGGAAATATTAATTTTCATATTATCTATTTTGTTATTCAAATGCCATGGAATAATTTCTAAGTTATGTATTGTTAGATTTGTTGGTATGCATCTTTGTCATGTATAATATTTTGACGCTTTCGAGACTACTATTTTAAAGAACAGTTATGTCTGATTTCGCAGTTTGATATTTAATGCTCCTTTGATAACAAATAATTATACTGATTAGATTATTGAAAGATAAAAATCTTCAAATAACATTTTACATTATTATGTACCTCTTCTTGTTTTGTATTGGTAAACATGTGTTGTATTTTTTTATCATGGGCGCCATCCTTGATCCTCATCGTTACCTCAAATAGGTAGGGTTTTACAAGATACCAATTCTCACTGATAAATAAAACTATGATCTAGAAATCTCTACCATGTCCATTTTCTCATGAGCTTATAAATTACATGTTAACAAGTTAAGATAATGTGTCAAGGCTATATATGGCAGTTTATATGTAATGCTATTGTAATGAATTACGTACAAGAAGTCTTGCTGAGTTAATGTTAAGCAACATGTTGTTGTTTGTTCACAACTCTTGTATATCATTACAAGATAGTTCGATGTAATAGTATAATTGAGAAAATTATTCATTTGATCAATGGTCGTAGATATCAGATATTGAAATTTTACTAATTTAATACAAGACACTAGTAATCGCATGTGTCTATATTACAATATATTCAGATGTAATCTTCTAATAGAGAAATTGATTCATCGATCAATTTACCTAGATATTAGATATTGAAATTTTACTGAGTTAATACAAGACTCTAGTAATCGCATGTATCTATATTACAATATATTCAGATGTAATCTTGTACTAGAGAAATTGATTCATCGATCAATTTACCTAGATATCAGATATTGAAATTCTACTGAGTTAATACAAGACTCTAGTAATCGCATGTATCTATATTACAATATATTCAGATGTAATCTTGTACTAGAGAAATTGATTCATCTATCAATTTACCTAGATATCAGATATTGAAAATTTTACTGAGTTAATACAAGACACTAGTAATCGCATGTATCTATATTACAATATATTCAGATGTAATCTTGTAATAGAGAAATTGATTCATCTATCAATTTACCTAGATATCAGATATTGAAATTTTACTGAGTTAATACAAGACTCTAGTAATCTCATGTATCTGTATTACAATATATTCAGATGTAATCTTGTACTAGAGAAATTGATTCATCGATCAACTTACCTAGACATCAGGTATAGGAAAGCAATTGATTGATGCAGGAGTCTAGTATTCACTTGTGATATTCGGCTGTGATATTGTTATAAAGAATTTTATGCTTTCATTAATTTCTATAAATCACCAAAATATTTATTTAGTCTATGCTTAAACTGTTTCTAGTTATTGTCTTTTTAAAACATAAATGTATATGTTTCAATTCGAGACTAGATAGAATTGTCCATGTAAAATGTTAATGTATGTTGTTCAGATTGATAATTAATATACAAGGTGAACACCTTCTGTATTAGGAGAGATTCCATTGGAATTTTGTTTTCTATAGCATTACACAAATATAATAACGACTAACATATTCGGTATTTTTGTACTTATTACCTACCATTCAGAAAACAATGATCCACCTTGAGAAATGTATATTGATATATTCTTTTATTATGAAACAACCATAGAGATTGCATGGGAAATATCATTGTGCCTATGAACATGAACTCACTAGAACCATATGTATCGCACTTGATATTAGACGTGGAGTTCTTCTTTGACAGAAATGGTTTATACAATTACCTGTGATCATTACATAATAGACCTGAATGAGGAATCTCTCTCTCTCTCTCTCTCTCTCTCTCTCTCTCTCTCTCTCTCTCTCTCTCTCTCTCTCTCTCTCTCTCTCTCTCTCTCTCTCTCTCTCTCTCTCTCTCTCTCTCTCTCTCTCTCTCTCTCTCTGTCTCGCTCGCTCATATATATATACAAGATACCATTTATCTTAGATTACCTGAATTTGCCTTATCGGTTCATTGCTTCTATTCACGTCTTTTAGAGAAAAGTACTGTGATAAGTTTTGTAAAATCTTGTACTTGTGTCCAGTTATTTTGTAAATATTTATTTGTAATAAAATATGTTATAATCAAAATCAAAAGAATGTTTTAAGACCGTTTGTTCGGAACTGGATCCATACCGAATTTCTTCCAACGTTTGAGAAATCTATGTTGTTAGCCGAAAACAAATACATGTCCTGTCATGACCACTGCCAATTTCTCGATATTATATTAAATGTGTCTTTATAAACAGATGTGGATGACATAATCCTGACTTTCATACTTATTGTCCCTAGATCATACCACATATCGACAGGATGCAATGTACGCAAACTAACTGAAAATGCCATCAATGGATTAAAAGAATCACAAAAATAGATTAATATCGGAAAACAATGGAAATAAATTGATGAATACCATAGACTAAAGAGTTCACATGCTTAAACGAGAAATCTCAAGACCGTATCGAAACTCTGCAGACCGTAACTTCCAAATGCTTAAAATCGATGAGGAATAGAGGGATCAAAAGAACACTATTATCGGGAGCTTTGTTTATGCATCAACCTAGTCTTGCCACGAAAATTACACTTGACGTCGGTTTGAAGTCGTAATGAAATCATTTTGTAATCTATATATACAACAAGAAAAAATCTTTAATGCGTTATTTCAAGATACACTACTGTAAGAATACCAACGAAATCAGACAGCAGAGTAAGGTCGGGCGTTACATTTTGTAAATTGTGAGATCAAAATTGGTTTCCATACCTGTTTAACTAATTGCTTTTAATTATTTTAGATGATGTCATTGTATATTGAACGCATGTTAAACAGATCTGCTACACCACAACCCATCACCTTCAAAATCT